CCACTCACCTCAGCCTCCCAAAGTGCGGGATTACAGGCTGAGCCACTGAGTCCAGCTAGAATCTGAGTTTTAAAAGAGGTTTTAATCTATTGATATTGGGAAGGTAGACTGTGTCTTATTCATTTGATGTGCCCACCAGGGGTTCCTGTTTTCTTCTCTGACCTGGACTTGCCACTCTAGTTCTGTCTTTATATATTACATAGTGCACCATTCCGAGGAACACTGTTAACCTTGGTGGGTGACACTAATTTATAAACAAGTATGACACATTAGAGTCTTTGGGAAGAGGAGGAAAAGCCTGGGCACTTGGATGTAAGAGGACCAGAAAGCCAAGATTTATTTTTGTTCTTGACAGTTTCCTGATTGTCTAGGCTCAATCATCAGAAAAACACTCATCTACAAGCCAATTCTATTGAGGTGGGGGCACATTCTTCACTACATCTATCTCTGATCTAACTTCTGCTTCTGTGCCCTTTGCCACAGTTATATCCCCTTTAAGTTTAGAATGGGAAAGGGAGCCCCTCAGGCCCACTCTGGAACAATAGTACAACCAGTCCTGGCAGAGTTTAGGTACATAACAGTCACCATTGTCAACCGATGGTTATGTTGCTCCTAGCTCCAGTCTGACCATGTGCTAGCACGGCCCCAGTTGGCAATTTCTAGTGGTCTTTAAAGTCCCTTGTAGTGCTTTGCCTCTGAGAACCACACTGGCCAGTTCTGCTTCAATAGGATATTTCTACCACCTTCTCTTTTGAATTGTACCATCTTTTTAAAAACAGCTTTTTAAACCAGATTTGGTTTACTGGCTTATTTCTTTGTCTATTTGTCATCATGCTAAAAATTGCAAACCAAAACTTATGACTTCCACAGTTGGCAATCTTCTCTGAAAGCTTTTGTGTACAGAAATCTATAGAAAGTGCTGGGAAAAGACTCAACAGAAAATAGTTGAAACTTCTTCCTGAGACATGAAGTAGATGAATGGAGCCAAGATAATGGTCAAGTGTAAAGGAAAATCATTAATAGTTGCTATTTCAACTGAGTGCTTCCCCTATGCCAGGCACTCCACATCCAAGCTAAATGTTTTTCATAGATTATTTCACTTAATCCTCACCTGAGCTAAGTATTATTTTATTTTATTTTATTATTATACAGCTGTAGGGTACAAGTAAGGGTTAACTACACAAGCAGGCTCTATGCCGGTGGAGTTTGTGCCTCCAACTGGTTTGAGACCAGGTACCCTTTGTGTTGTTATGTGTTCCCCCCAACTGCCACTCCTCCACCACCACTGCTGTGCCCGCCCCTGTCCCCTCACCACCCCCCCCGGCCCCCACAGAGCTCAGCAGCTACAGATGCCTCCCTTGTGCTAATGTGATTAATGTTTGGGTCCCACTTATGAGTGAGAACATGTGGTATTCAGTTCTTTGTTTCTGTAATGGATCACTAAGTATGATGGCCTCCAAGTCTACTCAAATTGTTGCCAAGTCCATGATTTTGTTCTTCTTTATGGCTGCATGATACTCCTTTGTGTATAGGTGCCACATTTTCTTTATCCAGTCCACTTTCAATGGGCAGTAGGGTTGATTGCAATGTTTTTGCTATTGTGACTAGCGTAACTATGAACATGTGGGTGCAGCTCACCTGAGCTAAGTACTATTAAGCCCTATTTTGCAGACAGAAGAAACTGAAGCTTAGTGAGTTTAAGTTACATGTTCAAAGTCATTTAACTAGTAAATAGCAGAGGTAAGTTTAGAAAAGTCAACCTTACTCCAAAGCATGGCCTCTTTCTAATAAGCTATATACTTCTCCTAAACTGAAAGATTGCCTCTAAGCAGTTTCAGTTTAATTTTAAGCAGTGGTTCTCAGCCTTGAGTGATTCACCTCCTCACCCCACCCCCACCCCCCCAACACACACCTCCACCCAGGGAACATTTGGTCATATCTAGGGACATTTTTGGTTATCACAGTTGGTCATGGGGTGCTACTGGCTTCTGGTGAGTAAAGGCATCCAGTGAGTAGAGGATGTGGCTCACATCCTGCAGTGCTTAGAACAGTTGCCCACAACCAAGAATTACCTGTCCCAAAATGTCAGCAGTGCTGAGGTTGAGAAGCCTTGATTCGGAGGACAGTGGAGTTTTTTCTCCACTTCATACAAAGCAGGTTATTTTGTCTGTACCTCACTCTTCTGTACATTCTGTCCCATCACAGATGACAGCAGCCTTCTGAATCTAACTCCCTACCCCCTGGTTAGAAGACGGAAGAGAAGGTTCTTTGGGCTGTGTTGTCTCGTGTCAAGCTAGGCGGCTCCTCCTGGAAACCCATTGAGAACACCTGAAAAAAATCACAAAAGCCGAGGACCTCCAGACAGCTGAACCACACAGTTATTGGTTTTTGACTATGTTTTCTATGCTTCCTTATTACTTTAACTGCCTCCCCTGCCCTCTTAAATGATTTTACACTTGAAAGCAGCTGCCATCAAGAAAAAAAGAACAGATTCAAAAAGCAGGCTGTTTTTAAAAGGATTTTTAAAGCTGACATTGTGCATGTCTGCTTCAAACCATGCCATGACAGATGCAAGAATTATGATTTTTAAATTATTTAAGGGTTTTTTAAATGTATTATACAGAGAAATTATTTCACATATGATAGTATATCTATAGCTCTTGCTGATCTCATGTTAACACTTTATCGCATATAAAAGAAGTCTCTAAACATAGAAAGCTATTTAAAAATGCAGAACTGTGTTCAAAAATCCAATCTATTAATATCCTTAGAAGTAATATTATAAACAAACATATATCACCTCACTATTGCTTTCTCTGAACCCATTGACGTTTAGTCTTCCATTCTGTCAGAATCTAAGAGCTTCAACATAAAAACATCTTAATTTATAATGCAACAAAAACCACGTATGAAAAGTACTTAAATTTTGTAAATACATAATAATCCTGATACCCTTGTATAATGCATATGGGCAACTAATTTCCTTTGATCCAATGGTGTCTTTTTCAGCTTCTTGGAGAACGAAGTAATCCAGTTAGGAAATGGTGTAGTAACATATACAATTACCCTCAAATGTAAAATCGAATATTATTACATTTTGTTCTAATTGAAATCTGAAGCATGGTGTCTGCACATCAGCATAGTGTTAAATCTTATAGGGCATGCTGGAATTAGCTCAGATCGTAAAAATATTTAACATTTTACATTGTTAATAAAAATTTTTTTAGTTAAGCTAAGCTTGTCTCATATTAGATGACTATGCAGATATGACTTTTCCAATGTGTACTTGGTGTCTTGTCTTATGCTTAGAATCTTGAAAGCAGGACACTTTAAGCAATACTATATTTTCGAAAGGAGGAAGCCACATGCTTTTTTTTTTTTCTGCTCACAGCTTTGTTGTGATCTTCCTTCCCTAAACTTGTAACATGGTACAAATTTTGTTACATTTTCCCATGTTCTTCCTTTGGCCCATTTCCCAGACAAAATTTCCCATGGGTTGAGAGATCAAGTCTTTGCATTTCTTTCTTGCTTTCCATAGTCTGAAAAAAACCTTCAAGTCAGACTGGAGGCACCAGTGTCTCATACAATAGAAGGATGAACTAAATGCCTATAAATGGTTTATCTAAGACATGTCTTTAATGCTACGTCTGTACTTTCTCAATACTTATGTGCACAGGTATTTATATGTATACTAATATTTTTATCTAAAAACTAAATATATTAAAGCCTTTAGTTTTCATGAGGATGAAGAAAAGTACAGATAACTACTGGAATACTAATTGCCTCAGGTTGAATTAGATGAAATTGCTGATATTTGACTGTTTTGACCTACAAAATGGCAATTTCATATAGTTCAACCTAATATTTGATGCGAAAATTATACTTGGAATTGTCTTCCAGCTTTTTTGATTGAAAGTGAAAGAATTAAAGAGTTGGAAGAAATTTCAAAAGGCTATGCAGATCTCTATTTAGATCATACCAGCTGGTTGTTGGCCTTATTCTTGGAGTTCAGAGCTGTGTTTCAATAAGCCAGTAATTAATACCAGGTAATAGGTATGCCTCACTTCACAAAAATAAGTACCCTCCAAATGTTATATGAGAAAAATACAATTTTCCAAATCAAATACTTGTAGAACAATTGTGGGAATGCTATTTAAAGCCTCCTGGGATGAATACTCCCTTGCAAAGCAAGGAGCCACTCCCAGACTTACCTAGCTACAGACCTTGATTTTTGTAAATCAAATATGATTAAAGCTTAATATTCTTTCCTGAATCCAGTTCATATTCACCTCTGAGGTTATTTCACTTAAGGTCCATTGTCTTTGAAATTATGCAGTAGCTCAATTTGGCAATTCTCAGCTCCTGTCTCTGCCCTCTTCCACACTTCGACCATATTGAACTCAACTTCAATCTGGTTCCTACTAATCCGTGCAAATTTATTAACTGATAAGCCCAACCCTGGTGTTCAGCACGTTCTTCTGAATGCCTGACCTAAATCACTTCTGCTTGATTAATTTCTGCTCACTCTCGCCTTAGTCTCAGTGTGAAAGTAACACCTACCTTCTGTGCAATTGTCCTTTGTACAACTGAAGACTGTTAATAAATTCAAGTCTCACCTCCATGTCTGGGAAGGCTGTAGTAGCTATTCATGGAGATGGGAATTTGTCTAATTACCTAGCCAGACTTTCCATATCTAAGGTAATATATTCAGCCACCATATCTTTTATTCATAGTGCCTGTTTTCCAGCCTTCGATAAGTTTTATAGTTCCCATGGACACACTCCAAGATTTATAGATTTTCTTTCAGTAGCATGTCCTAAAATTAAATTTAGTGCTCCAAGTCCTGATAACCTACACTGGCTCATGGTTGCAATAGGTAATTCACCGTCTCCCATTACATATGCCAATGCATCCCTTAGGAGCTAGCCACTCTCCTCTCACCTACCAAAGGACTTTCTCAGGTGTGGTTCCGTGAGATAAAGTTCTACTGTCTCAGCTTCCTGCTGGTAATTTGCTTTCAGATTAGCAATAACACTGAGTTGATCCCTAGGGGTAGATCTCTAGGGAAAAGAACATTGAACCCATTTTGTTGCGTGTACTCATATGCTTGAAACAGAAAAGGATGTAAGCTTTTTGTGGTACACACCCATTCATTTTACCACCATATTTTTTAATATCCCATGTTGATTTTTTTTTTAGATTACAAAGAATTTTGTGGGAAATACCACTAAATAGAAAGAAAAAAATAATAATCTGAATTCCACCATATTCAAATCATTTAAAGCCACACTTTTGGGCTTTAAATTAGTCAGGGGCTGGGCCCCAAAGTACTTTTGGATTCGATTAGTAAAAAAACGTCCACAAGGCCAAGATGTCACTTTTAAAAATCTGTCCACAAATGTTGTATACATCTAGGAACGGACTCACTGCCAAATTCTGGTTGTGCCATTATTCAGGGGTGCAAAGAAAGCTTTAGAAGTAGCACACCCCTGATGCCTCCTCTAATGAATTATAGCTCTTGGGGTAAATTCAAAAATCCTGTCAGACCATTTTGTTTCTCCGTGCTCCTGTAAAAACAGTCAGGATATTCAGTGTTTGGCAATACTGCCACCTACTGAAAGTTTAGCCTCAGTGTGGGGGGGGGAAGATAAAGACATTATAAAAGTATCTACTTTATTTTAGACAGGAAACTAATAGGCTAAATTAACAATAATCCCATCTGGAATTTCAAACTCTAAAAGTGTCAACATTGAAAGGATTAAGGATATCATCCAGGCAAACCTCTCACCCCACACACTCATACCCAAAGCAATGTCCAACATTCCTTTCTGCTCTAAAATATAACCAAATGCAAAATGTTCAACTTTCAGGTAACTATAGGTAGGAAGAGAAAAATGCAGTGATACTATTGACCCCAGAATAAATCAGAACTAAACATACAGCCTGTAATAGACTTGCAAACATAAAAGAATTGAGTACATTACAAAGACGACATTTCAAATCTGTGAGAAAAATTCAGCTTATTAAGTAGGTTATATTGAGGTAACTGGTTAGCCATTGGGGGGGGAAATAATAGATTTATACTTCATAATTTTCATCAAAATAAATTCTAGATGAAGTAAAAGTTTAAATGGTAATATACATTAATAAACATATAAAATTTCTGACAGGCAATATTGATAAATATTTATATAATTTTAGTGTGGAAAAAAAAAACCTTCCTAAGAGTGATACCAAAGGAAAAGGCCAGAAAGAAAAGTTGGATGGAATTTGACTAATTAAAAGTGCAAAACTCCCACATAGTAACAAATAACAAGCCAAATGAAAAGAGAACAATATTCATAATATATGCAACAAACAGTAATGATGATGACTATATATCAAGAGCTTAAACACCACTACTCTTGGGAAGTTTCCATGATCTACAACCCCCTTCTCAGCCAAGTGTTTCCATTTCAGTTTTTCCTTATTGAACTTTTTTGGTTATTGCTTGTTTACCTGTTTATCCCCACTAAGCTGGAAGTACAGGAAGGCAGCAACTGTGTCTATTTCACTTACTGTGAATTCTTGACTCTTAACACAGTTCTAGACACAAAGCAAATATGGAAAACACATTTATTAAATGAGTGAATAATGAATGAATGAATTTTAAATGATATTTTATGACTCAGGAAGAATCAAACTTTCCAACAGAAAATTGAACCAAGGACAAAAACTGATAACACACCATAAACTAAAATAGTCTACTAATAATAAATGTGAAAGTGCTTGAATGCATTGGTAATTAATTAAAAATGCAAATTAATATTACATATTCCCTATTACATGTTAGGACAGCAAAGAGTATAAAGAATTTGAGTTCCCAGGGACTAAAAGTAAGTATAGAAATAAACATTCTCTTAGAGAGTCAACGAGAGTATAAATTGATCCCATCTTTCTGGAAAATTATTTTGGCACTATGTTTTTCCTGCATGCTCAGTAATTCTACTTTAGGAAAATTCTAAAGGTCAGAAAAAAATTGAGTTACAAATTGCATTTATTCATTATTCAAAAAGTGTATGCAAGAAAGAATGTTTATAGTAGAATTATTTGGAGGAGTGGGAAAATGTAAATAAGTCTACTTTATAGAGTTGGTTAAATGTGGTACATCTTTTCAATGGAATACTGTGCACCAATTAAGAATAAGCACCATATGTGTATTTATTGAAATGTATAAGCTATATTATGAGATGAAAAAAGGAAGTTACAGAAGAATAGCTATAGTATGATCCCTTTTAAAAATATACGTATGCATGTGTGCATTTAAAAATCTGAAAGGATACTTGCCAAAGTGTTAGCAGCATTTATCTCGGGGAGGTGAGATTTGGAGCAATTATATTTTCTTTTTGCATATCTGTAATTTCTGATTTTTCCACAATGAGCATGTAGTATCTGTATAATTTTTTCAGGGACTAAACAATGATGTTCACGATATATATTAAATGAAAATACATGTTATAAAACAATATATATAGTATGACACAATATTTGTAAAAAAAAGAAAATATATATAAATATATCTATGTATGTATATATATGCATAAGAAAGCTAGACGGACATACACTAAAATGTTCATAGTAGTCCTCTATGGGTAGTGGGATTATGGGTGATTATTTTTTCTTTTTGCTTTTCTGTGTTTTCTAATTTTTCTACAATGAATATGTATTACTTGTGTAATAAAAACTAATAATAAACGTTTTAAAAAATGAAAATTTGAGAGATATTTTTGACTCACCACTTGTCCTCATCTCCTCCCTGCACCACCCACTCCCCCACCCCCCCACCCCTGCTTGACTTGTTCCTTGTCCAGCTGTGAGACCTGGAGAAGAAAGAGCTGGCACAGCCACTTTTGAGAACAGAAAAGAGAGAACCAAGAGTGGGGAGAGGAAAGAGAGAGAAAGAAAAGGAAGAAGGGAGGGAGAGAGGGAAGGAAAGGAAGAAGGTAAGAGTAAAGGAAACTTAAGTGAAGTCAGTGGAGGAAAAATTAAAACAGGCTTTGGAAACTTTTTCACTAACAGTAGCAATGTGTCTAAATTTAGCTCAGGTTTTCTGATAGCTACAGAAAGAAAAAGAAATTCATTAAGTTGAATAATTTTAATTTCTAATAAAAGGATACATACACACACACGTGTGCACACCTGGAGAGCCACCTAGAAATTAAATTCTGACTGAAGTGTATCCCAAGAAGTTTTTCAAAGGGCAAACTATTGCAGTCCTACTCGGTGCTAAGGGCTGTGCAGTACAGCTTAGAGTTCATAGGCCTTTGAATCTTAGATGTGCTTCAACCATGTACATAACTGTGGCTAGCAGTTCCAATATCTATTCTTTCCTTATTTTCTTTAGTAATAAATTTCAGCGAGGCACTAGTCACCTAAAGTAAAGACTCCATATCCCAGACTTCTTTGAGATTTGGCTCTGGCTGTATAACTGGATTTTGGTCAACAGGTTATGAGTGGAGGGGTGTGCAATTTCCAGGTACCAACCTTTAAATAAAAGGCATGCATTTTAATGCTCTCCTTTCCTTCTCTCTGGGCTACAATGAAAGCATGAGTGTGGGGGCTGAAGCAATCATCTTGGACACAGAAATGGACGCCACCTGAAAATGACAGAAGTTCCCTATGTCAACCTAAAATCATCAAAAAGGGTCAAAATCTAATTTAAAGAGAGTTTATTCAAGTGCATAGTGTGAGGTTGGACCACCCAGAATCACCATCTCCAAAGAAAAGAAGTCAGCATTCTGAAGTAGGAAAGTTAAGATTCCATTTATATAGACAGAGACAGAGGAGTTTTTACAGAATTATTCAAGCTTGGCACATAGTTACTGAAATTTGATTGGGTATAGGCAGCATTTCATTTGGGGAAGAGTACATTTAGCATTTTTTTTACAGAAGGTGTAATAATCATGGGTTTTCTGTCATCTGGTCCAAGCAAAGCAGGACAACAAAGGGGAGGTTAGTCTGTAACAAAAGTCATTAATTAGGAAGACAGGAGGTTTTGTCTCTGACACCATTAATCCTCTCTAGTCATTGTATAGAAAAAGAAAAATAAGAAAGTGAGTTGATCTACAATCTGAGAATAAAAGTTGCTACCATATGTGACTCTGCTGGAGTCCAGCTCCAGGAGAGAGTCAGGGCTTGAGACAGGGGAATCGGGAAGCTGCGAAAAAGAAAAGATGAAAGCAACAGGAATCCTCTTCCTGGGGAGAGTTCAAGACTCAGCCAATTTTTATTTATTTTTCACAAGCTTATATAGGTTTTCCACTCAGCCCTGTACCCATAAATGTATCTTATGTTGCTAACCAAATGCCCACGTACATCCTTTTTGCACTCACAATAAGGTTGACCTTTAACAATTTCAACCACAGATGGTGTTTTTCTTAAGTCAAACATTTATGAACGTCCTGGTTTTCTTCCTAACTTTCTCATAACTAGTTACTATTATAGGCCTATAATATCCTTACCCTATAAAGCTAAACCTTAACCCTAAGTCTTATTTAACTTACTTACTACTATACATTTATTTCTATTAATCTTATTTCTATCCTTATGTCTCTATATTTTCTTAACTATCACTTATACTATTATATATCTCTTATCTTACTAGTTTATCTTATCTTACTATCTTATTATTAATATTCTAAATTCTATCTTCATTAAACTACTTATTTAATCCTAAAATATCTTAACCTATTCTTTATCTCAAACGGTTGTTTTCCACCAGCTCTCAGCTGGGGTCTGTTGTTTATGAGGAAGTGGCCGACTCATTCTTCTCGGCCTCCTGCTGTTTACTGAAAAACATCCTTACACACCCTAAGGGGCACCCTTTTTGCTGCAATCTCACCTCCATTATGCCTATGTATAATTTTTGCTGTCAAATGCCATTATCCATTTGCACATTTATTATCTCAATTAAAGAGGGAACATTCTCAAGCCTATGCACGCAATCCTTCCAAGTTAGGGAAGGTCTGTCAACAGGATCCATGGGACTTTGCCTCTGTCATGGCCACATTTTACTGGGGCCTTGCTCCCAGCCGGCGTTTTTCCTGTTTTCAGGTCCCTTTTACTGTACTTTTACTAGTGATTGCGGCTCCCGACATGACTCAGATCACAGTCCCATTTCTTTCAAGACTTAAAAGTGTTTTAAGGAGTTCCAACAGCTTTTAAATTTTATTTATTTTCACACCCAGTAGACCTAGACCACCTATCTATTAATAAGAAGAGTCTGTTAATTAATTATCATTAATAAAAAGAACCTGTTTACTAAATTAATTAATTTCCCTGTGCCTCAGTTTCCTCAAGTAAAATAAGAGTAATAATACCAACATCACAAGATGTTAAAAAAAAAGTTATTTAATTACTTGCTTAGAACCAAATTCATTTTTATGAAAAAAAAACACAAAATATCGCATTATATTGTGCTAAAGAACACTAGACAAAGGAATATCTTTTAAATTGTATTTTCAAATCAAATGATCAATTGCTTTCCATATGGAAAAAAATTAAAACTGATCACTGCCTCAAACCAGACACAAAAATCAATTTCAAGTTAATTACTCAAATGAAGTTAAAAAGTAAAACTTCCAGAAGATAAAATATAGGAGAATATCTTCACATCCATAACGTTGTGAAATAGTAACAGGATACAAACCACTTTGGAAAACTGTTTAATAATATCTACTATCATAGAGTATATGTGTACTCTATGATCTAATGATTGCATGCCTAGTGAAACCACCTACATAAAACTAATATAGAGCCATAGGGTAAAAGCTGTGGAAGAGACTTGAACCCTTCAAAGTTGCAGCTATGGTTAGAAATTAACACACCTGTTGTTTTTAAATTTGCTTTCCTCCTTGTATGACTGCTTGCACATAGTCAATTCAATAGAGAGAAATTTGTTATTTTCATGTCCTGACCCCTGGGAAGAGGGTAATCTGCCTGCAAGGCTGATAAACATATTTTCCCTTAAACAATGAGCCCAGGCCACACAGAAGTTTGATCGGCCAAAAGGCACAAAAAACTTTAATCTCCACAAATCTTACCTCTCACATACCTTCCTACTGAAGTATCTCTAAAATGGCTTACTGCTGAGGAGTCTGTAGCCATGGTCTCGGAACTTGCTTTATAGAGAGCCTTTCTATTGTAAAATCTAAAAATGGTGTTTGAGATGTCTTTCAAACTTTGCGCTGTGATGAACCTGTGATCCTGCCAAGACCCAGGACACATACCTAGGAGCTGACTCTGATAGAGTAGGCAAGTTAGAGTACAGAACTATCAGGAATATAGGAAACTCTTGCAGAGACTGCCTCAATTTCAAGGCTGCTAGAAGATTAAGAAGATAGACAATAGATAGATAGGTAGGTAGATAGACAGAAAGAAAGAAAGATAGATGGATAGATAGATACAAACCTGTTACAATAACTCTCACCCAACATGTCTGCAACAACCTACTCATGATGTTTGTGATTGAGAGCCGACCACCAGACAGGGTACAGCTGGAAAATCCCTGTGGACATGCACACAAATAGCCAAGTTCACTTGCTTTGACCATTATCTTCATTATATGCTTATTAGCATACTAAATGACACACCCTCCAGCACCATGGTGGGCTCCAACCCTGCCCATTTTTAGAAATAAATTGGGTGACACACAAATTTCCTTTCATCTTTTAGAAAAATCTACCCCTTTAATAGAATATTCACCCCTTCATTTTTTTTTCTTTTTAAGAGTCTCACTCTGTTGCTTGGAGGACATTAGCACACTCACAGCTACTCTAGGCTCAACCTGTTGGGCTCAGGCAGTCCTTCTGCTCAGCCTTCTAAGTAGCTGGAACTACAGGTGCACACACTACCATGCTCAGCTAACTTTTGTATTTATTGTAAAGATGAAGTCTCACCAAGTTGCCCAGTCTGGTTTCAAACCCCTGGACTCAAGTAATCCTCTCACCTCCACCTCCCAAAGTGCCGGGATTGCAGGCATGAGCCACAACACCAGGCCTTCCTCTTCATTATTGTAACTCACAAAATCTATAAGCCAAAGATCTTGGCATGACACTTCCTTGTGTGCATCCATATTTTGCCCTAAAGTGTGTACAATTCTGTTACTTTCACTTTTAATAAGTTCATTAATTTCCTTTCTACATTTGACTCACTCTGAAATTCTTTTCTTTTTAATTTTAAAGATGTGGGGTACAATTCAGAATTGACTATACAATTGGTCATCGCACACTCTGAAATTCTTTTTGGCAGTGAGGTCAAGAACCCAGAACAGAACACTGGTAACAGGCACAGAATCCTGGTAACAAATCAGCTGGTCCTATGACTACCTCTCCCCCCAGAAACAACTGGTTCTGTAAACAAAGATAGTGTCAATGACTTCACCCTCATCAATCAACAGTGCCCATTCCCTAGCCGCCGCCCCCCCACCCCGCCCCCCACTTGCCAAATTATAATTCTCAGGGAGGCAGATTTGAGAAATATCTGTCCTCCCACTTTGTGGCTTTGCACTTATTAAACTCTCTTTCTCTATTGCAATGACTGCTATCAGTATATTAACTTCTCCATGCTGCAGACATAAGAATCCAGTCAGGCTGTAACAGTAGGTAGAGACCCAACAGAAATACAGATGTGTGTATTATGATTGGTAAAAAGAATACCTGTAGTCGTAGTATCTGTACTAGCCAAAAATTGTAAGTAATTCATCAACAAAAGAA